GCGATGGCAACTGGTGGTTCAGAGAAACCGGTAGCGATGGCAACTGGTGGTTCAGAGAACCGGTAGCAATGGCAACTGGTGGTTCGGAGAACCAGTAGCGATGGCAACCGTTGGTTCAGAGAACCGGTAGCGATGGCGGCCTGTGGTTCAGAGAACCAGTAGCGATGGTGGTGGGTGGTTTGGATAACTGGTAGCGATGGCGGCTGGTGGTTCAGAGAATCGGTAGCAATGGCGGCTGGTGGTTCAGAGAATTGGTAGCGATGGCGGCTTGTAGTTCGGAGAATCGGTAGCAATGGCGGCTGGTAGTTCAGAGAACCGGTAGTGATGGTGGCGTGTCCACCGCCTGGTTGTTGTTACTTCCTGGTTTTTAACCAGGAAGTAACCTGTTTGTCCAAGTGCACACATGACACACGTGCACTTCTGAACCGGTTGGGAAGGTAAGTAGATTTCACCCCTGGTCCACACACCCCAGTCCATCTAGTTTAATGAAAAGAAGCATTAGGGGAGACATGATAGCAGTGTTCCGATATTTGAGGGGCTGCCACAAAGAAGAGGGAGACAAGCTCTTCTCCAAAGCACCTGAGGGCAGGACAAGAAGCAATGGGTGGAAACTAATCAAGGAGAGAAGCAACTTAGAACTAAGGAGAAATTTCTGACAGTTAGAACAGTTAATCAGTGGAACAACTTGCCTCCAGAAGTTGTGAATGCTCCAACACTGGAAGTTTTTAAGAAGAGGTTTGTTAACCGTTTGCCTGCAATGGTATTGGGTTTCCAGCGAGAGTAGGGGGTTGGACTAGATGACCTCCAAGGTCCCTTCCAAGTCTGCTATTCTGATTTGACTCTTGTTCTTCCTACAATAGGTTGCCACCTTGGTGGCCCAGAGAAACCTTCAGAGATCCAAAGAAAATCTGTTAACTTTGCCCAAACCTCATATTTAATTCCCAAGATGCTCCTTACATACTGTATCTCCTCCTACAATCAAAGTTGCCTGCCTGCCATGCTAAGCTTGGATTCACTTGCAGCAAATTTAGTTAAATCTGGGGGCCTACCACATCCGTGAACCAAATGAGCAAGATCTGACTTAAACTAACAGTGTTGGAAGGGACCTTGAAGGTCTTCTAGTCCAGCCCCTTCTCAAGCAGGAGACCCTATGCCATTTCAAACAAATGTGGCTGTCCAGTCTCTTTTTGAAAACCTCCAGAGATGGAGCACCCCACAACATCTGGGGGCAAGTTGTTCCGCTGCTTAATTGTTCTCCCTGTCGGAAAATTATTCTCTTGATTTCTAAGTTGCTTCTCTCCTTGATTAGTTTCCATCCATTCGCTTCTTTTTCTTCTGCCTTCAGGTGCTTTGGAGAATAAGTTGACAAACCCACCCCCCAACTCTTCTTTTTGGCAGCCCCTTAAATATTGGAATGCCGCGATTGTGTCACCCGACTTGATTTAAGAACATTTTAAAATCAGGCATTCCAAGATTCAGATACAGACATCGGCTCTTTTCATGGTAAATTCTGCACCCAGGAAATGTTGTACCTCTCCGGCAGCATATGTAGACTTAATAGAAGGACTTTCCTTTTTCTGTTTCTTTTGAAGGTCCTAGGATTGTCCCAAAGGTGCTTATTTTTTTTTTCGAGAGGCGAATGGACTTTCTGGTTTTTCTTAGAAGATGCTTCTCATCCAAGAAGCTTCTTCAGTTCTTCTTCTTCAGAATTGAAGAAGCTACTTGGATGAGAAGCAAAACATTTTCAAAGGAGTTGTCTATAGAGATTCTCCATCATTTGAAGAAGCTTTGAAGAAGCTTCTTCAAAGAAAAACCAGAAAGGTTGCCTCTTGAAAAAGCACCTTTGAGATAACCGTGACCTGGATGACTGAGAATCTCCATAGACCTTGAAGAAGAAGAAGTTCGGAAGAAGGTTCTTGGGTGAGAAACAAAATGTCTTCAAAGAAAAACCAGAAAGTCCAAATGCCTCTTGAAAAGGCACCTTTGGGACAACCCCTGACCTGGATGATGGAGAATCTCCACAGACAATTCCTTTGAAAATATGTTGCTTCTCATCCAAGTGGCTTCTTCAATTCTGAAGAAGAAGAACCGAAGAAGCTTCTTGGATGAGAAGTGAATTGTCTTCTCAGAAAAACCAGAAAGTCCAGTTGCCTCTTGAAAAAAAATAAGCACCTTTGGAACTACCCGGAGGACTGAGAATCTCCATAGATGTCCTTGAATTGGTTTTAGAAGACAATAAGGATGCGGAAGGGGTCCCCAATTGATGGGGTGGGGGCAGGGGTGAAATCCAGCAGGTTCTGACAGGTTCTGGAGAACCGGTAGCAGAAATTTTGAGTAGTTCAGAGAACCGGCAAATACCACCTTTGGCTGGCCCCAGGGTTGGGCGAGGGAATGGGGATTTTGCAGTATCCTTTGCCTGCCACACCCACCAAGCCACGCCCCACAAGCCACACCACGCACCAAAGACACACCACGCCCACCAAGACACACCCACGCCCACCAAGACACACCCACAGAACCGGTAGTAAAAAAAAATTGAATTTCACCACTGGGTGGGGGCCAGAAATAAAAGGGGAGGGGCTTGTTACAAATTGGTGCTAGAGGCCCATAAGTCATCCTCGTGGTGAGTAGAAAGGGCAAAGGAGGCCTCTAACACACAAAACACAACACACACACACAACTAAGGAGACCCTTTCTGTCCTTTGGCATACAGCCATCAGCCGATGCCCATCAAGTCCAGGCTGAACCAGCGTCATTGCAGATCTACCTGCCACAGGATTTCAAGCCTCAGCGCATGAATTATTGCAAGACCGACACCACCAGAATTGTCCCGGTGGAAGCCTGGCTTGCGTGAGGGAATTCTGCGGAAGGAAACTTGACTGCTGGGCACCACAATATATAGGAGAACAGCTCTAGTCATCTCTGCTCTTCCAGCAAAGCTCGCAGGTGTCCTAGAGACGAGAATCAACTCGTCGCTGCCAGAGACCGCTGTGTGAAGAAGCTTTTCAACTCTGATCGAAACCGTGGTGGCTGGCCAGAATGCAGTATGGCAGGCTAATTCTGCCGACCGCCAGCAGTTCGATCCTACCTTCAGAGAAGTTGTGGGATGCTCCATCACTGGAGGCCTGACTGGACAACCGTTTGCCTGGATTGGTACAGGTTCTGCTGCTCGAGTAGGTGGTTGGATTAGAACAGGGGTCTCCAACCTTGGCCGCTGGCTGAGGAATTCTGGGAATTGAAGTCCACCCGTCGTAAAGTCGCCAAGGTTGGAGACCCCTGGACTAGAAGACCTCCAAGGTCCCTTCCAATTTTGTTATTCCCTTACTCCAAATCTGTCAGATTGCGAGGGCATCTCCTGTGCACAACCCTCTTCAGGTCACCCCTCCTCCTCCCTCCTCCTCCTCCTCCTCCTCCTCCTCCTCCTCCTCTCCTCCTCCTCCTCCTCCTCCTCCTCCTCCTCTTCTTCTTGCTTCTTCGCTCCTCTCTTCTTCTCTTCTCCTCCTCCTCCTCCTCCTCCCCCCTTCTTCTTCTTCTGCTTCTTCTCCTCCTCCTCTTCTCCTCCTCCTCCTCCTCCTCTCCTCCCCTCCTCCTCCTCCTCCTCCTCCTCCTCCTCCTCCTCCTCCTCCTCCTCCTCCTCCTTCTTCTCTCTTCTTCTTCTTCTTCTTCTTCTTCTTCTTCTTCTTCTTCTTCTTCTTCTTCTTCTTCTTTTCTTCTCCTTCTCCTCCTCCTTCCTCCTCCTCCTCCTCCTCAACCACCACCACCACCACCACCACCACCAGAGTCCATACCAAGGTTTCCCGTGGCCTGACCCTACGTTAGGAAGTAGAAATTCCTCACATTACATCACCTGCCACCTTCTCAGCTAAAGGTCTTTCATTGGAGCCGAAACGGATGTTCCCCAACTTCGGCTTGGGAGACTGTTGTTTTCAAAGAGAAGGTTGAGAAGAAGGAAGCCCCTTTTCTCCAGCGTCTCCATATAATAATAATTAAAAAATACCTCCAGAGAACGTACAAGAGGCCTAGTTCTTGTCCAAACCCCTTCCTATGGTCAGCCTCGTTTCCAAAGGGCAGGAGACCTTCTGGGGTTCTCTCAACTTGAAGAAATTCAATCCCTTGGGGGGGGGGTGAGAGAGAGAGAGAGAGAGGGTCTTGCGGCCTTTTTGGGAAGCCAGAGAGCTCCCTACGGTTCCTTCCTCCCCCGACTTTGATCTTCTGCTCATGTTTGTTCAGTCGGTCAACCCAGACAGGGTTAGCGTCTGAGGTCAACTTCTTTTCTATTTCCCAAATCCTAAACACGGGTGAGGACGAGGAAAGATTCAGGTTACAGAGCCCCCTCCTCCTCCTCCTCCTCTTCCTCCTGCTCTGCTCTCCCCCTACACACAACACACACACACACACACACACACACACACACACACACACACACACAAACAGAAGAGCTTTATAACCCTGTTAGCAGCTGGCCAAGCTTCTGATGTGTCGGTTTGATGCTCCCAAAATTCTACTCCCCAAAAACCTAGGAGAGGATTTCTTTTGGTGATCGTTTTGTTTTGCTTTGTTTTTCAAACGCAACTCTTGATTTGCTGGTGACCCGGATCCAAGAGTCATCCCCCACCCCCACCCCCGACAAACCCCAGTTGTTGTTGTTCTTGTTGTTGTTTTTCAAACAACAACAGGCTCCCCAATTGTGTAGGAGAAGACCCTCTTGAGCGAGGAGAGACCGAGAAAAGACAAAGGAAAGAAAATCCGCGACGGGGTGAAGTTGGAAACGGAGGAGCATCCGTCTGGGGAGGCAGCCAGTCTTGTGAAGGGGTGGCCCTGCGTGTCAAAAGATGCTTGTTTGGGAAAGGCCCGGCGAGCTTTGGGCGCTGCCTGGCATGGACCTTAGACCTGAAAGGATGCTGAGAAGATGAGAAGATTCTCCAAGGGGCAGAGAAAGAAGCACTTTTCTCTCTTTTTTTGATTTTGGGGGCCTCCTCCGCCGACTGCTACCTCCTCTCTCTCTCTCTCTCTCTCTCTCTCTTTCTCTCTCCTTCTCTCTCTCTCTCTCTCCCCCCCCCTTCCTCTCTTTGCAAATGTGATTGTTTTGTCTATCACACAGGGCAGAGTGGAAGACTGTTCCTGGGTAGGGTGAGGGAGAGACACGCAGATAGGTTACAGGAGCCTGCCTCAGACCAATGCTTTTCTGGGCTCCTACCGAGAAGCGACTGAAGGCAAGAGGCTGCCTGAGAAAGCTTGGAAGATCAAGGCTGCCTCTGGACTCCATGCTGCCTTCACTTCTCCTCTCTCTGCTCTCTGTCCTGGCAGAAGGGGCCAGCCTCCAGCCAATCAGAACCAACCACCTGGGGATGTGTCCCAACCAACTGAACCCCAACCTCTGGGTGGACGCTCAGAGCACCTGCGAGCGGGAGTGCCAAACCGATCAGGTGAGACTTCGCCGAACGGACGCTGCTCCCCAGGTGCATCTTCAGCCTGGGTGGAGCAGGAAACCTGGGTCGTTCTTGGGGGGGGGGGGGGGGGGGGAAAGGAGGGGGGAATAAAGCAAGGATGGAGGGGGGGGGTGGGGTGAGGTGTAAAGATAAGAGGATGGGGTGCTTGGGTGAGCAGGGCAGCTTCCCACCCAGAAGGTTGGTGAAAAGGTTCTCCCCACAATGGACCTCTTTGGGGGGATTGGAAGTTTCTCGCAGTGCATCAGGTGGACAGCTGAGCCCTCGCGCGCCTCTAGCTCAAGAGGCTCCTTAACAGATCCCAGAAATGAATTTTGAGGAGATCCTGGGTCGATTCCCCCACTCCCCACAACTGCCTGCTGTGGTTCACTGGAACCCTCCAGGACTCTATAGCTCCGATTTGCTTTTTCCTCGCTGACCAAAGACGAGAGCTTTGAACATGTTCAGAGGAGGAAGAGGCATGTGTCCCAACCCCGAGATTCCTCCAAAGTGTCCGCAGCCTCCTTTTAAGAACAAGGGGTGTGTGTGTAAACCTTGAGTAAGGTCGTTTTGGGTCCTCCTATTAGCCATTCAGGCAAATCTTCTGCTCCCAGGACTGAATCGAGACCCTGGAGTGAATCAGACCTGATTGTATCAAGTCAGTAGCCTTCATAAGCTCCCTACTAACCTTGTATCAGAGACAGGCTACCTTATCCGAGTTCTTAGAAGGTTATGGTCAGTGGTGGGTTTCAAATTTTTTTACTACCGGTTCTGTGGGTGTGGCTTGGTGGGTGTGGCATGGCTTGGTGGGCGTGGCAGGGGAAGGATAGTGTAAAATCTCCATTCCCTCCCCACTCCAGGGGAAGGATACTGCAAAATCCCCATTTCCTCCCACTCAGCTGGGACTTGGGAGGCAGAGAATAGATGGGGACAGGGCCAGTCAGAATTTTTACTACCGGTTCTCCGAACTACTCAAAAGTTCCGCTACCACCTCTGGTTATGGTGGGCACCGAAAGATTTGCACTTAATCTGTAAACAAAAGAAGGCATTTTTTTTCCCCTTCAGTTTTTAAATACCGCTCAGTTTTTGAAACTGCCCACCTGAGGGCTGGCTGGCACCCATGGGAAGTGGGGAGGAAAAATGGGAAAAAAGCAGGGGCAAAACCCTTTGATAGGTTTACCGACGGAGACGGCTGTGGGGTCACCAGATGTCAACTCCCAAGAGATGCCTTCTTTCCGTCTACGGCTCCATCTTTCTTCCCACATTCCTTCTCCCAAAAACTACCCGATTACAAGCAAGCTCGACAAATCGAGGGAGGGGTGAAATCACACACCCCTCCCCGACTTCACAGGATGAAAAATTCTGGCACAAAAACCACTTGCCAGAATGTTTAGGTGGTGGAATTGACGGGGGTGGGTGGGAGGAATTAAAGGAAGAGCAAAAGCGAGCGTGGTCCGTGCTGGAGGGCAGGAGGTGAAGAGGGTCCATGTAATGAACAGCAGCTGCTGAAGAAGAAGACAAAAAATGAATCTTTGTCAGCGGTGTGTTAAGGAGGAGACCAGACGTCTGGTTGTAAACTGGGGCTGGGGGGGGGGTTCTTATCAATCCGGGCATTTGCCTGAGGAAGATATAGAATTGCCCCTTGACAGTGGTGGGTTTCAAAAATTTTTACTCCCGGTTCTGTGGGTGCGGCTTGGTGGGCGTGGTTTGGTGGGTGTGGTAGGGGAAGGATACTGTAAATTCTCCATTCCCACCCCACTCCAGGGGAAGGCTATTGTAAAATCTCCATTCCCACCCCACTCCAGGGGAAGGATACTGTAAAATCTCCATTCCCATCTCAATCCAGGAGAAGGATACTGTAAAATCTCCATTCCCACCTCAATCCAGGGGAAGGCTATTGTAAAATCTCCATTCCCACCCCACTCCAGGGGAAGGATACTGTAAAATCTCCATTCCCACCTCAATCCAGGAGAAGGATACTGTAAAATCTCCATTCCCACCCCACTCCAGGGGAAGGCTATTGTAAAATCTCCATTCCCACCCCACTCCAGGGGAAGGATACTATAAAATCTCCATTCCCACCCCAATCCAGGGGAAGGATACTGTAAAATCTCCATTCCCACCTCAATCCAGGGGAAGGATACTGTAAAATCTCCATTCCCACCTCAATCCAGGGGAAGGATACTGTAAAATCTCCATTCCCACCCCACTCCAGGGGAAGGATACTGCAAAATCCCCCTTTCCTCCCGATCAGCTGGGACTCGGGAGGCAGAGAATAGATGGGGGCGGGGCCAGTCAGAATTTTTACTACCGGTTCTCCGAACTACTCAAAATTTCCGCTACCAGTTCTCCAGAACTGGTCAGAACCTGCTGAAACCCACCTCTGTCCCTAGAGCAAGGAGTGTCCAACTCTGGTGACTTGGAAGACTTGTGGACTTCAACTCCTGGAATTCCCCAGCCAGCCGGCCAGCCAGCATGGTCAAATCCACCCTGATGTGGTTTGAAAATAAATTTTTAAGGCGGTGTAATGTGAACCCAGTCAAGGGTGCTGAATTCAGCAAGACACAGATTTAGAGCAACAAGTGAACAAGTGGTTTCTTAGCAGATATTTCATTACCAAAGTAGGTAACATCATCAGTGTTAGAAGGGAGCCAAATTTGAGGAGGAGGAGGAGGAGGAGGAGGACGACGACTATGGGGTCCTTGGCGCTCTCTGAGCTTGGTGGTTCTTTTGTAGACATTTCATTACCAAACTAGGTAACATCATCAGTGCCAAAAGGAATGTGGGTTTTGTGGAGAAGAGGAGGAAGAGGGAGAGGAGGAGGAGGTGGAGGTGGTTAAGGTTTTCTTCCAGACATTTCATTACCAAACTAGGTAACACCTTCAGTGCTAGAAGGGAGTGGGGTTAGCTCTTATTTGTATATACATTCATACATATATACATTCATACCTTCTATTGGTACAATAGGCTAAGTCAAAACTCGCTGCTGTTTATTGCCTTGTCCGAAACATCCAGAATGCTGTGCAAACTGGCATAATGCAATCCTGTAAACCCGGTCAGTTACAGATTAGCACAATGGGCTTGCACCAACCATTACGATAGAGTAGAGTGGAGTAGAGTGGAGTGGAGTGGAGTAGATAAAGAACAGAACAGAACAATACAATACAATAATACAATACAATACAATAATACAATACAATACAATACAATACAATACAATACAATACAATACAATTCTTTATTGGCCAAGTGTGATTGGACACATGAGAAATTTGTCTTTGGTGCATATGCTCTCAGTGTACATAAAAAGACAAGATACATTCATCAAGAATTATAAGGTACAACAATTAATGATAATCATAGGGTACAAATAAGTAATCGAATCATACTAGGAAACAATTAATATAAATCGTAAGGATACAAGCAACAAAGTTACAGTCATACAGTCGTAAGTGGGAGGAGATGGGTGATAGGAAGGATGAGAAGATTAATAGTAATGCAGACTTAGTGAATAGTTTGACAGTGTTGAGGGAATTATTTGTTTAGCAGAGTGATGGCATTCGGGAGGTAGATTCTTGTTAGACTTGGGAGAAGAGGTGTTCTACCTGTGCAATAAATCTCCCAAAGAAGAAGTGCCTGTGCATTTGAACACCCTGTCTTTTGTTTCCTTGACAGGACTGCGAAGGCTTTGAGAAATGCTGCACCAACGTTTGCGGCTTGCGGAGTTGCGTGGCTGCCCGTTATGCCGACGGGAGCATCTCTTCGTTGGAACAGATGCAGGAAGCCACCTGCGAGAGCTTCGTCTGCACCCAGCAGGGCTCGGACTGTGATATTTGGGACGGGCAACCGGTCTGTAAGTGCAAGGACAGGTGTGAGAAGGACCCCAACTTCACCTGCGCCTCCGATGGACTCACCTACTACAACAAGTGTTACATGGATGCCGAAGCCTGTATCCGGGGCATCAGCCTGGCAGTGGTGCTGTGCAAGTACATCTTTACCTGGCCCAATACTAGCCCGGTGCCAGTGGAGACCACTACTCACCCCACCCCTGGGGCGTCTCCGGAGCTGCCTATCCCGCCGGCTCTCTACAACAACCCTTTCCACCAGCTCGTCTACGTGGGCGGCACCGTGAGCTTCCACTGTGACGTGAGCGGGCGTCCTCGTCCCGACATCACCTGGGAGAAGCAGAGCGACCATCAGGAGAACTTCATCATGCGGCCTGACCAGATGTACGGCAACATGGTGGTGACCAACATTGGCCAGTTGGTCATCTACAACGCTCAGCCAGAAGATGCTGGGATCTACACATGTACAGCCAGGAATTCTGCCGGTCTCCTGCGAGCGGACTTCCCACTCTCGGTCGTCAAGAAGGAACACTCCAGAGGAGAACCGAGAGTTTCCAGTACGTTGAAGCTCCCGCCCAACGAGTGCTTGAGGGAACCCGATACCCAGGATTGTGAGACCTACCAAACCCGTTGGCATTTTGACTCCAAAAAGGGCTCCTGTGTTACTTTTCGTTATGGCGGTTGCGGGGCGAACCAGAACCACTTCGACACTTATGAGGAGTGTCAACTGGCTTGTGTCAGCAACACGGTCAACCTGTGTACCCTCCCCATGGTGCAAGGGCCTTGTAAGAACTGGGAACCTCGCTGGGCCTACAACCACCTGATGAAGCAGTGCCATTCCTTCATCTACGGCGGTTGCGAGGGCAACGAGAACAACTTTGACAGCAAGGAGAGCTGCGAGGACGCCTGTCCCTTCCCCAAGACCTTGCTGTGCAAAGCGTGTCGCCTGAAGAGCAAGATGGTATTGAGCCTCTGCCGCAGCGATTTCGCCATCGTGGGGCGACTGATGGAGATCCTCGAGGATCAAGACTCTGGGATTGCCCGTTTTGCGCTGGACGACGTCCTCAAGGACGAGAAGATGGGCCTCAAGTTCTTCAACATCAAGTATCTGGAAGTCACCTTGACGGACATGGACTGGAACTGCCCCTGTCCCAACATGACCGCGGAGGATGGGCCTCTCATCATCATGGGGGAAGTTCACGACGGCATGGCTGTCCTGGATCCCAACAGCTATGTCCGGACTGCCAACGACAAGCGGGTCAAGAAGATTTATGAGCTTCTGGAGAAGAAAACCTGCGAGTTGTTTAACCGGTTTCAGGACTAAGGTGGGCTTGAAGGGAGGGAAAGTAGAACAGGCAAGAGAGACCCCACTCCTCAAAGGCACAGCATCCTTATATTGTTATAGAAACCAAGGACTGGGTGGGAAGATGAACGGATGAGCTACTGCCCCTTTCAATCCACAGAAGAGTTGTGTTCACACAACATGCTGAACCCGGTCACTGAACTAACTGGTTTTCTGAGTTTTTGGATCAACCAACCAACCTACCAAACAGGTTGGGTTCACACAACCCAAAGCGACTAATTCCCATTCAAGCGTATGGAATACATCTACAGGTAGTCCTCGGCTTACGACAACTGAGCCCAACATTTACGTTGCTACGCAAAACAGTTGTTAAATGAGTTTTGCCCTCCATTTTACAACCTCTCTTGCCACATTTCTTAAGCTGAATCACTGCAGTTGTTGCGTTAGCAACACGGTTGTTAAGTGAATCTGGCTTTCCCTGTTGACTTGGATTTCACCACTGACGTGACCCTCCCCCCGGTGATCACATGACACTGCGACCCTCACAAATATGAGCCAAGTGTCCAAATTTTGATCATGTGACCAGGGGGAGACTTGCAACGGTTGTTAAGTGTGAAAAACGTTCCGAAGTGTCTTTTTTTCAGTGCTGTGATAACTTCGGTCACTAAATGAACCGTTGTAAGCCGAGGACTAACTGTACTAGGCTTGTTAAGTGACCTAGTTTAATGTGCTGGGTGAAAACAGTCAGTAAAAGGGAAATGGGAAACATTTCCCATCTTCAGGTCCAGGCCGGCTCTATTTATTTTTAAAATATTTTTTCTGCCACAATCCGAACTCTTAACTACGACGAGGGCTGGCGAACGCTTGTTAATGGTCTACCGTCCGATTTTGTGTGAGCTGTCATTTATCTGCAACTATTAGGTCAGTGATGACTAACCTTTTTGCCATCGCGTGCCAAAAGCTGGGGGAGTGCAGGATAGTTTTGCGCGCGCACGTGCCCATACCCATAATTCTATGTGCCCTGCCCCCCTGCGCATGCGCTCCCCCCCATGCTCTCTCTGCTTTTGGCATGTGATTGCACAGTGGGCACGGTAGGCCTGTTTTTTGCCCTGCCCAGGCTCCAGAGGCTTTCTATGCGCCTGGGGAGGACAAAAACAGCCTTCCCAACCCCGCCGGAGGCCCTCTGGAGGCTGGAAACAGCCCGTTTGCCAAATTCCGGTGGGCCCAGAAGGCCCCAAAATCAGCTGGCCAGCATGTGCATGCATGCTGGAGCTTAGCTAGGGCAACGCTCGCGTGCCCACCAATATGGTTACGCGTGCCATAGGTTCGCTATCACACCACTAGGTCTCACTGCTGTACATCCTTCTCAGCTGCTCCAATCTTTTGTGAAATGAAGACTAATTAAACCAACCAACCAACCACGTTTCTTCTAAATCTTACAGCGCAGGTCAATAGAAGCTTTTTTTTTTTTAAATCCTTTCGGGATGGCAAATTCTTTCTTTCGACAAATGATCACTGTTTCTTGAGGACTAGCTTCCTAGCCTGGATTGGCAATTACCAATTTCTGGGGGCGGGGAGGGGAAATAAAATAAATCATGGTCATGTGATTATAAAATGCTGCAAATGACCGTAAACGGGGCTGGTTGTTGAGCACCTAAAATTTTGTCATATACTGCAAAGTGTGTGTGTGTGTGTGGCGACTGGAACTCCAGAACAGGTCATAAGTAACTTTGGAGGAGGGGGAGATCTGACATAACTCTGAAAGGTTGCTAAGTGGCAGATTATAAATTGAGGACTATGTAAATTGAGGGTGGGGGAAAATGTTTTTCCTTCACATTTTGCAGGCTGTTTGACTGTCTCCCTACAGTCCTTTGGAGGAGGCCCATCCAAGTTGTAACCAGGACTGGCCCTGCTTAGCTTCTGAGTCCAGACAAATGTGATCTAATACTGCCCCCTGGTGACACACTATCAGATTTACCTTTCCGAATGGCTCCCTTGTAGATAGCGAACTAGATAAAAACCAAGCGATATTTGTGTAAGTAATGCCAAAACGTTGTATTTATTTGCACCCAAATGCAACACAGATTATGTAAGATGCTGTTACCTTGATTCTTAGCCAAGGCTCTTTTTTTGAGCATTCTCACATCATCCAAATAAGAAATATGGATATGCCACACATCACTAGAGGGAGATAGTATTCTACATGCCACACATCGCCACTAGAGGGAGATAGTATTCTACATACAAATTTAATTTTCTTCCCCTGGACATAGAAAAAAAATCATAATCGCTCTCTCTTTTTTTTTAAAGAAACAAAAAAATTGAAAGGAGGGTGCAAGAAAAAAAATTAAAAATCACTTATCATCTTTAAAGGTAACTCTAATCTGCCTAGGGACACGTGAATAGCACTGGATTGTAAACAATAAACCCAAGCAGTTAGTTATGTGCAGTGGTGGAATGTTGCTGGTTTAACAACCTGTTCAGTGAGCGTGCACTTTGCGCTGAAAACGGAGCATTTAGAAGCTCAGCTGCTTACCTTCCAAGTCAGCAATGGTAAGTAGAAGAGAGGAGTGGAATCAGCTGTGCCGCGCAATTGAGATGAGCTAGAAAGCAGGAAGGACAAGATAGGGCGGAGCAGGGGTGAAATTCAGCAGGTTCTGACAGGTTCTGGAGAACCGGTAGCGGAAATTTTGAGCAGTTTGGAGAACCAGCAAATACCACCTCTGCTGGCCCCAGAGTGGGGAGAGAATGGAGATTTTGCAATATCCTTCCCCCAGGAGTGGGGAGGGAAAGGGGATTTTGCAGTATCCTTCCCCCAGGAGTGGGGAGGGAATGGGGATTTTGCAGACTCCTTCCCCTGGAGTGGGGTGGAAATGGGAGATTTTGCAGTATCCTTTCCCTGCCAAGCCCGCCAAGCCCACCAAGCCACGCCCACCAAGCCATGTCCACAGAACCAGTAGTAAAAATATTTGGATTTCACCACTGGGCCGGAGGCGGGTGGGCGGGGCCAGCTGAATTCCACCTCTGGTTATGCGAGCAAAAAAAGTTTGGAAGTTATCCCTCTTCACACGTGAAGCGGTGTGCAATTTGCCATGTTTGAAAGCAAACCAACCAACTTCTCATCCCTGCAGAAAACTGGGACAAGATTTAAAAAAAAAAAAAAAAACAGCCATCCAGATCTACTGGATTACAAGACAAAAATCTGAAAATCAACTGCACTCCAACACATCTAGACAGACGGTTGGTCGAAACCAGCCCTGTCTTTCTCGCGGGTGTTCTAACAGGAAAGGAAATATTCACGCAGAAGGATGCTCAAACCTCCAGGCTGCCCAAACTTGCAAGCCAGATGTTTGCATTAAAGGAACTTGAGAGCATTGCGATTCATCTAATGCGTCATGCGCTGGTTCAACATCAGGCTCATGGTTTTAAAGATTTAAACATGGGGGAATCTTGAAGTCCTCATCTCCTCAAAGGTAACCAAGATAGACATTGTTTTAAATTGTACCAACAGCATGAAATATCGAGGTTCACCTAGTGGAGGGTTTCATATTATGTTACTACCAGTTTGCAACGCACACACTTGCTTCATGCACGCATGCGCCCGGTCCGCGCACGCTCCAGCCTTCCATGCATGCTCCTGGCCTCAAAAACATGCTTAAATAGGATGGCATAGAGCCGAGGTGCGGGCCCACCCACGATTTCCACGATTGGACCGGCTTAATACCACCTCTGGTTCACTAGTTCTGAGGTTTAATTAAGTGTTGGCCTGATGTAATATCATCTTTGTAATTAGGAAGAAGTGTGTGTGAGGGGGGGAAGTCCCCTACCAAAATTTCATGGCAGGAGGACAAGGGCAGTGATGGGTTGCTCCCGGTTCGCACCGGTTTGCAGGAACCGGTAGTAAAAATTTGTAGAAGTTCTGAGAACCGGTAATAACATTGGCTGGCCACGCCCCCGAACTGGTCCCCAGCTCGGTCACCGCTCACTTACCCCGCCTACCTCATCAGAGGCTTTTTTTAATTTTATTTTTAAAGCATTTTTTCCTACAACCTCTTCAGCCAAAGAGGTGGTAAAAAAATGCTTTGAAAAGCCTCTGACGATCCCAGCTGAGTTGCCTGATCGGCAGAGGCTTTTAAAAGCATTTTTTTTTCTGCAACCTCTTCGGCCGAGGGGGGGGCGCAGGGACTTTTGCTACCGGTTCTCCGAACCACCCGCCGCCATCGCTACCGGATCGGGCGATACGGTCCGAACCGGGAGCATTTCACCCCTGGATTTGTGGCTTGCCATATTTTCCAAATCAAAACCCACAGACGTTTAAGGCATCCTGAATTTGAAACCCCAGGATTTCAAACCTTGGTTATAGGAGCAGCGTTCCGAATCCAACCAAACTGGCAGTTGTTATGGAGGACCACCAAGCCGCCACGCAGCTGGCAGCCAAAGGTTTAATTAGAGAGAGGGTCCTGTTAACTGAGTTTGTTTAATGTACCCTGGGAACATACCCTGTTTCTTGAGGCTGAAGGGGGTGCCTCTAAATTTTGTGATGCGAGTGCCACAACCTGGGAAGTCAAAACTAATTCTGAAGCATTATGTCCAAGGCAGATAAGTACACGACCACACTGGTCAAGCCATTGCATGGACAACAGTGGTCCCCGATCTTTCCTTTGTCCAAAGATGCAAGCATCTAGCCCTCAACTCCAAAGGGGCATGAACACCCTATCTCTCCACCAAAAGAAGTCAAGAGCAACATGACCGACCATCTCTGCTGGACCACAGTTTCTTCCGCAAAGTTTACAGCTATGAATTAATTATGGCACTTGTCCCACCACCTCATAAGGACTTCCTCATGGATGTGTCAAGAAGCAGAGCTCAGCAGGAAGAGAAGCGGAAGGAATCCTGCAGAAGGAGAAGAAGACATCCGCCGCATCTTGAAGTGGTCCATGAACTTCTCTCATTGGAGACAGCAGTCCGGCGACTTAGTGTTTGCGGAAAACGAGGCACTTGTTGTTTGCCGGCATGTCGACCTGGAAGCAGAAACCGTTTTTTGTGGTTATTCTGGGCGATAAAATTCGCAATAGATGCCAGGCTTCAAGAGATCCCATCCTCAGGGTGAGGAACCAGGAGGCACTAGAACAAGGATCACCAACCTTTCAGACCTCAGGGACCACTAAATTTATAATTTTAAATCCCGCGGACCACTAATACGATCTGCCTAATGACCGGCTGGGTGGGCGTGGCTAGGTGGTCATGTGACTGAGTGGGCGTGGCCATCTCGATGTCACTCACGTTACTTGCCAGCCTCTACTCGCCCCTCCCCTCCCAGTTACTCCTCGCCTCCTCGCCCGGGCTCCTTAGGGCCCCAATAGGAAGCAGTTGTTGGCGCTAAGCAGCCACCATGAGAAAGAGTTGGCAAAAGAGCTCAGTTCAAATTGGATGTGACCGAGAAGGAGGCTCAGCAGAAGCACCTCACTAAGGACTAGGAGCTTAGGCTTTCCAAGCAGAGGGAAGACCTGCGGGAGTGCAAGGCTAGGTACCGGCGCCTGGAGGCTCAGCAGGCTGAGATGGTCAGCCAGTTCCAGGCCATGACGCAGTCCCACTGGAACGAGGCCCTCTGGCTCTTCACCACCAGCGGCTCTTCCCTCCAGCCTTCGCCCAAAGCCCCACACCAGGAGGCTGAAGCAGACCCCACGTCAGAATTTCTGTCCCCCTCCGACCCACACAAAAAGACCCCGAAGGGGGAGACTCTCTGCAGCAACGCACACTTTCATTGCACGTATCCGACCCCTGATTTAGTGCAATATAAAAAAAGCAAATAATTTTTCTGTGGACCACCAAAATTTTCTCGCGGACCACCAGTTGGTGACCGCTACACTAGGGGATCCCCGAGATCAGCAGAAGGAGCTGACGTCTAAAAAATTTAGCCGGCCAAAGGATTGGTCAGCGTATGAGCGAGAAGCTCAGCTTATTTTTAAGCAAAAGCGAACTCAAAATAACAAACTGGAGGAGGCGCATCTATTGCCAGGTGAAATTGTCGCTCGAAATTGGGTTGCACGGGGGGGGGGGGGGGGGTCATTCAGGCAGGGATGTTTGCAGGGATTGATCAAAATAATCAAGAGGGCAGCGGCATGGAGATGTCAATCACACGGACACGGCTGCCATCTTGACTTTGGGATATTCCCCTCTCCAGATGAAAGCTAACATTGTAAAACTAAAACTGTAAAACTCGAGCTAAGACAAAAACTAAAACTGTAAAACTCGAGCTAAGACAAAAACTAAGCTACCATTGTAAAACTGAAGCAAAATTAAAACCAAAGCAAAACTAAGACTTAAAACAGGAAAGCTGAAGCTGAAACTAAAACTGTGGCCAAAGTTAAAAGTGTTCCTTTCCCAGTTGTAAACAGAATGGGATACCTTTCCCTATTCAGCCTACCATGTTTTCCAGCTGCATCCCGTTGGCCTCAGCAAGCTGTTGCAGGACAGCTGTGTCCCTGAGTCCCCAAGATGGATTGCTGGTAGAGGGAGAGAGGGAGGGAGGGAGGAAGGAAAACAAAAAGAGAAGGAGAAGAAGGAGAAGAAGGAAGGAAGGAAGGAAGGAAGGAAGGAAGGAAGGAAGGAAGGAAGAATGGAAAGAAAAAGGAGAAGGAAGCAGAGGAAGGAAGGAAAATGGAAAGGAGGAGAAGGTGAAGGAAGCAAAGGAAGGAAGGAAGGAAAATGGAAAGAGGAGAAGGAGGAGAGGAGAGGGGAGGGGAGGAAGGAAGGGAGGGAGGGAGAGGGAGGGAGGGAGGAAGGAAGGAAGGAAAATGGAAAGAAGAGAAGGAGGAGAAAGAGAAGAGAAGAGGAAGGGAGGGAGGGAGGAAGGAAGGGAGGAAGGAAGGAAAATGGAAAGAGAAGAAGGAGGAGAAAAAGGAGAAGGAAGCAGAGGAAGGAAAATGGAGAGGAGAACGAGGAGAAGGTGAAGGAAGCAGAGGAAGGAAGGAAGGAAAATGGAAAGAGGAGAAGGAGGAGAGGAGAGGAGAGGAGAGGGGAGGGGAGGGGAGGGGAGGGGAGGGGAGAGGAAGGAAGGAAGGAAGGAAGGAAGGAAGGAAGGAAGGAAGGAAGGAAGGAAGGAAGGAAGGAAGGAAGATCTTTAGCCTTGTATTAAAAATAATAATTCTGCAACCTAAAAACAATTTCTGCGTAGTTGTACTGCCATTCTAACTTTTTTTTACTCTCCCCCCTCCCTGACACACCCTCCCTTCTATTCCTCCCACCCCACCCCCCTGGGCAAGCTTTGCGTTGCTCACCTCCGCCTCAACCTGTAATCAAAATCCACGTTGCTCTGTGGAGTGATGGAACCATTCACCGCGTAGGGCTGTCGAGCACGGAAGCAAAACAACAACAAAACCACAAATTGTTAGATAAAGTCATCCATCCATCCTCCAGCAAAGTGGGGAATCTCTCCCCTACTGAGAACATCCATGCCCTCCAGAGTCTCTGAAGAAAAAATAGAAGCAAGGAAATTAATTTTAATTAATTAATTAATTAATGGCAAGGCAGAATGCCAAACTCCAAAACCAGGTTATTTCTCCTGGCATTGACCTTGTGTAGATCAGGAGTAGCTAATCTCCCTCTGCTTTTGTTGTGGCCCGCCAATGGCCAGCGGATCTGGCAGCAGATTGAGACAGTGAGGAGGTTGGGGAGGAACCTGGGCCAGTCCTGCAGTCTGGGGGAGGCTCTGATGAGGGCTCTGCGTCTGAGGCAGAGAGGGGGCCAGGGCCGTCTGACAGTTGTCAGCTGCCTTCAGAGGCAGACATCAGTGAGGCAGACGAACAGCTGGAGCCTGTTCCCAGTGTGCATGCGCAGAGTTGCCAGATGAAGGGAACAGCTAAAGAACAAGGGCCGACTCAGGAGTAAAGCCACAGGTGGACGATGAAGGGCCCCTCCCAGAGGGAATAAAAGAGGAGCGAAAGGGGAGGGGAGTTTGCAGGAGACAATTACTTCATTTCTGCATTCTTGCCAAGTATTGCAGCGTCTGAAAGATATCGGCCTGGCCACTCTCCAAGCCTGATAAAGGTCGGTAATTGTAAACTATCTTGAAAGATGGTGGGAGAGGAAAGACTTTGCTGGAGAGGAATTCACTGTAAATTAAATAAAAGGGGTTTATCGGGATGAGGACTCGGTTTCGTGCTGTTGGGGAAGCCTAGGCCAGAACAGCTTTTGACTAAACTTACAGCATCCCGGAGTAAACACTTACTCCGTAGGTGATCATCACTGCTTTGGGTTTGAGTAGTTTCCCGGCTCCCTGGAACAAGCCCTGGACAAAGAAAAGCCATGAGAGGAAGAAAGGAGAAGCCATCAGTCCTGGAAAGAACGTCTACTAGGATCGCAAAATAAATACGACATTCTTCAAAGCAAAACACTTCATGCAGGTAGTCCGTGACTTATGACCACAATTGGGACCAGAACTTGGTGGTTGCTGTGCTCAATTTTACAATCTTTTTTTTTTTTTTGCTGTGGTCATTAAGTTTGCCGTTGCCTCCTTCCTTAGAGCAGAGGGGTGAGGCAAGGTCACCCATCTGATTTTCGTGCCTAAAGCGGGATTAGAACTCACAATCTCCTGGTAATTGGCCCAGAGTTACCCAGGCTGCTTTTATGCCTAAGGCAGGACTAGAACTCACAGTCTCTTAGTTATTGGCCCAAAGTCACCCAGCCTTCTTTCATGTCTAAGACAGAACTAGAATTCAGTCTCCTAGTGATTGGCCCAAATCGCCCAGTTGGCTTTCATGCCAAAGGCGAGCACTAGAATTCACCATCTGCTTTCTAGGTGAACTGATGATTGCTGATGATTGGTCCAAAGTCACCCAGCTGGCTTTCAGATTTAACATGGAACTAGAACTCATTGTCTCCTGGTAATTGGCCCAAATCACCCAGTTGGCTTTCATGCCTAAGGTGGGACTAGAAATCACTGTCTCCTGGTGATTGGTCGAAAGTCACCCAGCTGGCTTTCAGATCTAACATGAAACTAGAACTCACTGCCTCCTAATGATTGGCCCAAAATCACCCAGCCAGCTTTCATGTTTAAGGCGGGACTAAAACTCACAGTCTCCTAGTGATTGGCCCAAAATCACCCAGCCGATTTTTGTGCCTAAGGTGGGACTAGAACTCACCATCTCCCAGTTTCTAACCTGGCGCCTTAACTGGGACACCAAATTTCCCTTACAATTAACTTGGTTAAAACAAAGCTTCAGTGTACACAGGGGTGGGCTTCAAAAATTTTAGGAAGGGGTTCTCTGCCCAGCTGCTGGGTGGCCCTGGCCATGGTGGCTGTGGCCTAGTTGGCCTCCTGCACCACGGTGGGGGGTGGGGGGTGGGGTGGGCTTTTTGCCCTCCCCAGGCTCCAGAGGCTTTCCTCGAGTCTCCAGGAGAGCGAAAATGGCCTCCCCAGGCTCCAGAGGCCCTCTGGAGGCCGGAAACACCAAACTTCCGGTAGGCCAGTTTTTCACTCTCCCCGAGTCTCTGCATGCACCCTGCACTTACCTGCATCCAAAACGGGACGCATGAGGACTCCTGGGAGGGGCCAGCCAGGAATGAGATTTGGGGGTTCTCCGAACTGCACAGAATCTTAACTAGAGGTTCTCCCGAACTCCTGCGAACCCCCATTAAAATGTAAGAAGAGAGCCACATTAGTCTACGTGGCAAAAACTCACAGGTCTGGTACCCCCTTTTTTCTTAACCCCTGATGAGGCAAACCACAGCTTGTGAAAGCAACTCCCTTTGAATGGAATTTGCTCGTCGGAAAAAAAGTGCTACCAGATTTCTGGGGGTGGGGGTTTGCCATTCTACATTGTAGTCACCTAATCTGGAGATCCCCAAAGCGAAACCAGCTGAAGTCCAGCATCAATCCCAGAGCGAGCCGAAAGGAAATTTACGGCTAAGCAATCCTTGAAAGTCAGGTCTCCTCACCTGGGTGCACCTCATTTCTGAGATGTGAATCATGTTGATGTTGACAATGAGATCCAAAGAATTTGGACGCAGACCTCCCCAGGTCTCCCAGCTCTGAGAGGAGTCCAGGTAGATGGGCGGTTTGACATTTGAGAGGTGGAGAGTTTGGATAAACGATGAGATGCTACGAAGACAAAGAGAAAGGAGGATCTGTTGACCACCATAGAATAGCATAACAGAGTTGGAAGCAGTGGTGGGTTGCTATCGGTTTGCCCCGGTTCGGGAAAACTGGTAGCGGCGGTGGTGGGAGGCTCCGCCCACCCACCCAGACGTCATCAAAAACGCTATTACTGCAGGCTATTTCTGCAGACAACCGGCTGCCTGCAATTTGGCAGTTCGAATCTCACCAGGCTCAAGGTTAGACTCAGCCTTCCATCCTTCTGAGGTGGGTAAAATGAGGACCCAGATTGTTGGGGGCAAGAGGCTGAGTCCGTAAACTGCTTAGAAGAAGGCTGTAAAGCACTGTGAAGCGGCATATAAGTTTCAGTACTCTTGCTGATTAGCTGTGGTGGCACAGTGGTTAAATGAAGCATTGCAGGCAAACTCTGCCCACTGCCAGCAGTTCGATCCTGACCAGCTCAAGGTTGACTCAGCCTTCCATCCTTCTGAGTTGAGTAAAATGAGGACCCAGATTATTGGGGACAATAGAGCTGACTCTGTAAACTGCTTAGAGAGAGCTGTAAAGCACTGTGAAGCGGTATATAAATCTAAGTGCTATTTCTATTGTCCTTCCTTCCTTCCCTCTGCCCACTGCCAGCAGTTCAATCCTGACCAGCTCACGGTTGACTCAGCCTTCCATCCTTCCGAGGTGGGTAAAATGAGGACCCAGATTGTTGGGGGGGCGATATGCCGACTCTGTAAACCGCTTAGAGAGGGCTGTAAAGCACTGTGAAGCGGTATATAAGTCTAAGTGCCAGTGCTATTCTCCCTCTCCTCACCAAATTTGGGGGAGGGGAGAGGAGGGAAGGGAAGGGAAGAATGTGCTGCCTATACCATTTTATTGGTTGGCCTTTTGTAACGGTGTGTGGAAAAAAACCCTTGAGAGATGGGCTGAGGAACCCTCCCTAAGGGAAGGGAAGGGAAGGGAAGCGAAGGGAAGGGGAGAGGAGAGGAGGAAGAGAAAGGAAGAGTTTTTAAGAGGGTTTTTAATGGGATTTTTTAAATTGTATAGACTTGGGGTTTTAAAATGGGAGGCCGATTGATTTAATCTTTTTTTAATTATCTTAACTTTTGTATTGTATGCATTTTAATTTTGGCTGCTCACCGCCCTGAGTCCCCTTGGGAGAAGGGCGGTATACAAATTAAATTAATAAATTAATAAATAATAAGAAGAGAGGAGCCTGTGTACGGGGAAAAGGGGTGCCTTCCGAGAGGCCAAGCTAATGTAAATGAAGCGGGCTCTGATAGATGACCACTGGATAACTTTCTATTCACTCTATTCTAAAAAGCAATGCATCCGGTTGGAAAAAGTACAAACTCAGCCAAAATCCTTTTGGTTCCTCTAGGAGGCCTCTAAGTTGTCAGAAGAAAGGAACATTCTAATGACATACAGCTTAAAGGTTGGTTAGGTCAAGGGGATCCACATGAGTTAAAAGTTGTCTATCATCAGAAGATGATTTGAGTCTATGCTTCCGTAATCTACAAGAAGAATTATAACTGTTGGCAAAGAATAAAATGAAAGTGTCGATTAAAAATGACAAATGTATATGACCATATGAATTGCTGAGTTAACAGAATCCTTTGTCTAGAAGGGTATAAAAACCATTGTAACCTAGTTTCTGTCTTTTGTTCAAGGCTTCATGTACAGAGCTTTGAACCTATTGCGCAATATACCTTGTCTCTGATTAACCCTGAAAAGTTGTGTTGGTCTTATTAAATCCACAACAAAGCCATTCGCTTGTGGTCTTCAAGTGAAGAGCCTTGATAGCACAGTGGTCTAAGCACCCTGTTATTAACACAGGTGCCTGCAATTACTACTGGTTCGAATCTCGCCAAGGCTCAAGGTCGACTCAGCCTTCCATCCTTTCTAAGGTAGGTAAATTGAGGACCCAGTTTGTGGGGGCAATAAGCTGACTTTGTATAAATATACAAAAAGGATGAAGGCTATTGCTTAAAAGCATTGTAAGCCGTCCTGAGTCTCCGGAGAAGGGCGGCATATAAATCAAATTAAAAAAAAAAAAAAAGTGGGAAGAGAGCCCACCAGCATGGAAAGCAAGGCAGGGGAAGCAAGAGAGAGGGGAGGGGGGCTTCACCCACCCGCCTAACCCCTTCCCCTCCCCTCCCAAAGTCCTCCTTCCTTCCTCACCTGGCCAGGGCTTGGGGATCCACGTCGGAAGGCTGCCACTCCACGTTGGGCAGCGCTTGGGCGAAATGCGCCGCGTGGAGCCCGCAGCCCGAGGCCACCTCCAGGGCCTCCACGCGGGACCGGCTGCTTCCCACGTAACCCCGCAGGACGGCCAGGATGGGCTCCTTGTTGCGATCGGCCGCCGAGCCGAAGCCTCGGTTCATCATCTTGGCTAGCGGAGCTCTTGAACCGGCGGGGTCGCGGCCGGCTCCCGCTATTCCCACGACCACCACTCTGGGTTTGGGGAGCCGGCTGCTCCAAGCCAGCCGGGATCGGGCGCAGGAGGCGAAGGATGCGCGCAGGAGGAAGGCTGAAGAAGCCGGAGCCAGCAGCCTGGCTGGAGGGGCGAAGGATGCTCAAGGGACCAGCAGCTCTTCTCCTGCCTAACCTTTTCCCTTTATCCTTTGCCTTGCAACGGACGGAATGGCAAGGCAGGAAAGACTGCATTTCCCAGAAGGCAGCGGGGGTCTAGGCCCCGCCCCTGGCTTGTTATTGGCTGGATTTGGAGGGGCGTGTTCTTGCCTTTGAAGTTTTTCCTGGGCAGGAGGGGGGAGAGTGGAAGAAATGCCAGATTCCCCCCACCCCACCCCCAATCTCCATGGCGCCCTTATCTGTGCCATGGGGACTAACTTTACCAATACCAAGTTTTTTCTTTAAAAAAAAAATACCAAGTTTTTTCTTTAAAAAAAAAATACCAAGTTTTATCTTTTAAAAAAAAACCAGGTTTTTTTCTTTAAAAAACAACAACCAGGTTTTATCTTTAAAAAAAAATACCAAGTTTTATCTTTAAAAAAAAAATACCAGGTTTTATCTTTAAAAAAAAAACACAAGTTTTTTCTTTAAAAAAAATACCAAGTTTTATCTTTAAAAAGAAATACCAAGTTTGATCTTTTAAAAAAAAATACCAAGTTTTATCTTAAAAACAACAACAACACCAAGTTTTATCTTTAAAAAAAAGCAACAACATGCTAAGCCAGGCTGCAGCAATGGGAGCGTGCGTGGGACTCAGAAGCCAAGGCGCTAGTCCTCAGGAAGGTCTGGCTTTCTTTGGCCGCAGCGGGAGGCTTGTTCCAACGGAAGCGCTCTCTCTGAAGTCTGCAGGCGGGTCCTTTTTCTTGCAAAAAACATCTTTTTTTAAAAAAAAAATAATTAAAACAACTTTTTTTTTAAATTTTAAAAAAAATTGATTTTTTTTTTTTAAAAGAGGGGTGCTGGAGCACAAAGGTAATCGGCATGAAATTTGCACGCTTTTGCAAAGGGAAGGGAACCCCGGGAGGAAAGGAAACGCGTGGGAACGCGGAAGAGGGGAAATGTGGTGGTGCATGGCGCTGTGCGAAGAAGGAAGATTTTGCAAAAGGTAAATTTTAAATAAAAAAAAAAAAGGAGTTTGTGCGCCGCCCGGGAATCGAACCCGGGTCGCAAGAATGGGAATCTTGCATGATACCACTACACCAGCGGCGCAACTGGCAAAGCAGGTTAGTTCAAATCCTTTTGAAATTCGCGGGTGGCCTTTCCTTCCCTCGTGCAGCCATTCAAACAGAAAGCAGCCGCGATGCCCTGCAGCTTGAAAAAGGCAGGGAGGAATTCTTGCCAAGCATCAAAGGACGTCGGCTAAGGTTGTATTATTTAATCCCTGACCTCTTGAAGAGGAGGGGACTCCCAGAATCCCCCAGCGGACAGTTGGGAGCAGAATTGTCTACCACTTGTAGACAGATACTACTTGTCTGAAATAGTATAGGTTCTCCTGTTTGGGGGGACTGGACTAGAAGACCTCCAAGGTCTCTTCCTTTTCTTCTCTTCTCTTCTCTTCTCTTCTCTTCTCTTTCCTCTCCTCTCCTATTTTCTATTTTCTATTTTCTATTTTCTATTCTGTTCTGTTCTGTTCTGTTCTGTTCTATTCTATTCTATTCTATTCTATTCTATTCTATTCTATTCTATTCTATTCTATTCTTACTTCTATTTTATTCTATCCCTTATTCTATCCTATCCTATTCTATTCTATTCTATTCTATCCTATCCTATCCTATCCTATCCTATCCTATCCTATCCTATTCTTAATTCTATTCTATCCTATCCCTTATTCTATCCTATCCTATCCTATCCTATCCTATCCCTATCCTATCCTATCCTATCCTATCCTATTCTTAATTCTATCCTATCCTATCCTATCTATTCTTACTTCTATTCTAATCTATCCCTTATTCTATTCTATCCTATCCTATCCTATTCTATCCTATCTATCCTATCCTATCCTATCCTATCCTATCCTATTCTTAATTCTATTCTATCCTATCCTTATTCTATTCTATCCCTTATTCTATTCTATTCTATCCTATCCTATCCTATTCTATCTATTCTTACTTCTATTCTATTCTATCCCTTATTCTATTCTATTCTATTCTATTCTATTCTATTCTATTCTTTGCTATGCTATGCTATCTATGCTATGCTATGCTATGCTATGCTATGCTATGCTATGCTATGCTATGCTATGCTATTCTATTCTATCCTATCCTATCCTATCCTATCCTATCCTATCCTATTCTTAATTCTATTCTATCCTATCCTATCCCTTATTCTGTTCTGTTCTGTTCTATTCTATTCTATTCTATTCTATTCTATTCTATTCTATTCTATTCTATTCTATCCTATCCTATCCTATCCTATCCTATCCTATCCTATCCTATCCTATCCTATCCTATTCTTAATTCTATTCTATCCTATCCCTTATTCTATTCTATTCTATTCTATTCTATTCTATTCTATTCTATTCTATTCTATTCTATTCTATTCTATTCTATTCTATTCTATTCTATTCTATTAATTGCAGTGGCTAAGCATGCTGGCTGGAGATGGGGAACCGTTGCCATTCTGCCCCCAACTGCTGTTGTAAAGTCAAGGACCATCTGTAACAATAATAATAATAATAAAAAAGACAAGTTTGTGTGATCTCTTTTGGATCCCTCTTCTCGTGCTGCAAAGCAGAAGGAAGAGGCGCAGATTCGAGCCGAGCCTGTCCGTTCCCCGAGATAATCTTCCAGCACATTCTTCTCACCTATGACCCAGACATTAAATCCATTTGTAGGTCAATCCTTAACTTAAGCAAGATCGGTTTGCAGCAGGGCATGGACTTTGCACACCCGGAGGAGGGTGTATTTTAAGGACGAAACGCTACAGGAAACATTTTCAAACACGTATCTTATCATTTATTTATTTATTTATTGTTAAGGAACGTAACTCCTGAGTTGTGGCTGTGCTACAGTTTTGGATATGGAGTTACAATGTTACCTTGGCCCTCAAAAGGTTTTCATGCGTTTTATCAACCGAAGAATTCTTTGAACACTTTTTAAGCTAAGTTGGTTCGTGTTATTTATTCCCCACAGTAAATGCAGGAGTGAAAACAAATCCCTACAGTATCATTGCTTAGAAACTGAAGGTGCAACGGTATTAATCACCAAGGACAGCTTTCTTTCTTTCTTTCTTTCTTTCTCTTTCTTTCTTTCTTTCTTTCTTTCTTTCTTTCTTTCTTTCTTTCTTTCATCTTTCTTCTTTCTTTCTTTCTTTTTCTTTCTCTTTCTTTCCTTCCTTCCTTCCTTTCCCTCCCTCCCTCCCTCCTCCCTTCCTTTTTTTCTTGCCTGATTTTTGTAGTTTGTGTGTATATTTTAATCTTCTTTGTAAAACCTTATATTGTACTGCTTGTAAAAGCGGTATTATTGCTTAGAAACTGGATGTGCAAAGGTATTAATCACCAAGGACAGCTTCCTTCCTTCCTTCCTTCCTTCCTTCCTTCCTTTCCTTCCTTCTCTCTCTCCCTCCCTCCCTCCCTTTTTTTCTGTCCTGCTTTTTGTAGTTTGTGTGTATATTTTAATCTTCTTTGTAAAACCTTTAATCAAATCTTTAAAAAAAACAAAAAAAACAAACCCCGTTGGCTACTTGGGTTTTCAAAAGAAAGCATGGAGAAGAACGGGCCTTGCTTTCAGCCTCAAACTTTAAAATGTCTTGGTCTACACCTATATGAAAGATCGGTGATCAAAACAATTAAAAGTTCCTTTGCAAGCCATGACATTATTTGCTTCTGCAAAATGAAGAAAACCGCTGCTTTCCTAGAAGGAGGGGGCACTGAGAGAGAGAGAGGAGAAATTTAAACTTTCCTCCAAATTTGTTTTTTTTTATTATTGTTATTTAGATTTTTATCCCACCTTTATTATTTTTATAAACTAATAATATACTGCTCAAAAAAATAAAGGGAGCACAAGCAGAAGACATCCGAGATCTGAATGAATGAAACAGCCTTATTAAATACTTTGTTCGTTATATAGAGTTGTTTATACACTGCTCAAACAACTAAAGGGAATACAAAACTACTGTATGTAACGAACAAAGTATTTAATAAGGCTATTTCATTCATTCAGATCTCGGATGTCTTCTGCTTGTGTTCCCTTTATTTTTTTGACCAGTGTATAAAACTAATATTATATTTATATTTATATTTATAATATTAGTTTTATATTATTAGTTTATAAAAATAATAAAGGTGGGCCGGGATGCGGTGGCTCAGTGGCTAAGATGCTGAGCTTGTCGATCAAATGGTCGGCAGTTCAGTGGTTCAAATCCCTAGTGCCGCGTAATGGGGTGAGCTCCTGTTACTTGTCCCAGCTTCTGCCAACCTAGCAGTTCGAAAGCAGGTAAAAAATGCAAGTAGAAAAAGAGGGACCACCTTTGGTGGGAAGGGAACAGCGTTCTGTGCGCCTTTGGCGTTTAGTCATGCCAGCCACATGACCACGGAGACATCTTCGGACAGCGCTGACTCTTCAACTTTGAAACAGAGATGAGCACCACCCCCTAGAGTCAGGAACGACTAGCACATATGTGTGAGCTTTAGCTTTACTTTTTAGGCTTAAAGTTGCCAAGGTTTAAAAAAAAATTAGAAAGAATTTTATGGCGAAACGTGAAATATATAAAATGGTGTTCGAGAAACTAAAAGCGGTACAAATTGTGACTCGGCCAATACTCTGTTCAGAAAAAATGCATTGTTTGTTTGTTTGTATGTGTGTTTGAAAAAATAAAAAACTTTTATTAAAAAAGAAAAAGTTGCCAACGTTGGAGACCCCTGCACTAGAGGGCACACAATCCCCCCCTCAAAATCACCCCTCCCTCCCTATAACGGAAGCGTCTTATCTAGTTCCTGGAGCTGGGATTCTCAAGGTCACCTGTAACTTTGAGTCTCCTTGGAGAACAGAAATAAGGCAACCGAGCCATTAGCTGCTCCCGGAAGGCCCCGTCTTAAGCCACACCTGACTTCTGCGTTTTATTTTGTTTTTAAGCCATCTTATTTGGACCATTGATAGCAAACAGAAGCTAAAACCGCAAACATGATTGGGCTTCATGATTAAGATTTATTCCATTGGATTAACTCTGGCTGGAAAAATCAGGAATTGGTAGTCCTTGGTTTACAACCATTCATTTAATGACCATTCAAATTTATGGCACTGAAAAAAAAATGGCTTATGCTGCATTCCCAGGATCATGTGATCAGAATTCAGGGTTGTTTTTTTTGCAATTGACATGATTGTAGCATCCTGGGGTCATCTGATCACCCTTTGAGACCTTCTCAGCTTGCATCCAACAAGCCAAATCAAATCAATGGATGAAGCTGAGTTTACTGGGTTTAATGACTTCATGATTCACTTAAGAACTGCAGCCCTTTGCTTAGATTTAGAATAAGTCTCTTTATTCTAAGTCTCTTTATTTAATAAACTTATTGTCACTTTGAATGTACACTAATTGGCCTACATTAAAAAGGAAATGTTAACCACCATGGTTAAAGCTCATGAATTCGAGCGCAGCTCACTTTAATAACCTCCTTGCTTAGCAATGGGAATTCTAATTCCAGCTGTCATAAGTCAAGGACTACCTGCCTTCAAAACACGTCATTGGGTCAGCAAGGCAGAAGCGTCCCTTTGGACGCCAAAAAAAAAATGAAGCTGTCCAAGACAGAGGACAGTCTTTGGACACAAATACACTCAAAGATTTCTGGATGTTCTTAAAGCAAAGCCATTCGCCGTAACTTAAACCATATTAATTTATGACTTTTTAAATCGCAATAGCAACGGACACGTTTATAAATATTTTTGATATAATCACCAGTCTCTGGTTTAGTGAGCACGACAACGGTGCAGAAAATTGGTGCTTTGAGTTTCACAGGCTATGATTCATAAATGAAACCATGTATACATTTAATGTATAAGATTTATAAACTAGCTCATTCCAGAGGGTAAAAAATTAGCAGATATTAAAAGAAATAGTAAAACAATAAATGCAGAGAGTGAAACACAAAGTATTAAAACGTATATGTGCTATTTATTAAAAGTATATGTCTAAATGCATATATTTTACTTATATACACATATCTATGGTGGCTCAGTGGTTAAGACGCTGAGCTTGTCGATCGAAAGGTCGGCAGTTCAGCGGTTCGAATCCCTAGTGCCACGTAACGGGGTGAGTTCCCAATCCTTGTCCCAGCTTCTGCCAACCTAGCAGTTCAAAAGCATGTAAAAAAATGCAAGCAGAAAAAATAGGGACCACCTTTGGTGGGAAGGTAACAGCATTCCGTGCGCCTTTGCCATTGAGTCATGCCGGCCACATGACCACGGAGACGTCTTTGGACAGTGCTGGCTCTTCGGCTTAGAAATGGAAGTGAGCATTGCCCCCTAGAGTTGGGAACAACTAGCACATATGTGCATGGGGAACCTTTACCTTTATATGTAAGGTTGTTGCCATGTTATATCTTTTCGTTTTGTTCCCTGTACTTTGCAACCAATGGAGAACTATTTCTCAACCTTGACCATTTGAAGAGGTGTTGGACTTCAAAAATCCATACATCTTAAAGTCGGCTGGGGAATTCTGGGAGTTGAAGTCCGCCCATCTCATCCACAAGCTTTTTTTTTTTTTTAATTTGATTTATATGCCGCCCTTCTCCGGAGACTCAGGGTGGCTTACAATGCATTAAGCAATAGCCTTCATACTTTTGTATATTTTATACAAAGTCAGCTTATTGCCTCCACAAACCGGGTCCTCAATTTACCTACCTTAGAAAGGATGGAAGGCTGAGTCAACCTTGAGCCTTGGCGAGATTCGAACCTGCAGTAATTGCAGGCAGCTGGTCTTAATAACCAGCTTAATAACAGGGTGCCTTAGACCACTGTACTACCAAAGCTCTTATTCATAATGGCCAACCAACTGGTCTCTATGCAGTGTTACTTTGGCCTCGTCTGCCAACCAGAAACGATACCCCAAGTATGACATTTGCGTCATTGCATCCTATTTTATCTCAATCTTAAATTATTGCATTTTATTCCCAATTCATTTTATTTTTTATTTTTTATTTTTTTATATATATATAATTTTTATTAATATATTCTATACACTAATACACAAATAAAATATACAATCCTGCCACCATGGTATAATATGGTTACATTGTCCATAAGTATAAAATCATTCCTTTATACGTACATATTTGCCACCATATATATATATATACATCATCATATATCTATTCTATCCCACCTTTTCTGGACCCAATCGTACCATACTTTCCAACTGTTATAAAATTCTGAGTCTTTTTTACCATTGATCATACCATTGATCATTCCCAATTAATATCAATACCATTGATATTCCCAATTCATTTTAGACTGCATTTTATTTCCAGTTCATTTTAAATTGTATTTTTTTATTCCCATTCCATTTTTTAAATTGCTTTTATCCAATGTTAGTAATCATTTGTTTCTGGAACTCTGCCACTTTGATATGGGCCAAGGACACTCATCAATAAAGTTAGTGACGGTGGTAACATTTGCACGGGGCTGCCTAGAATTCATCGGCCAGCTCGTCTGAATGCAACCCCGGGACTTCGAAGAGACAGGGGGTGAGTTTGCACGTGTCGGTTAGATGGCAAGCGGAATACGGGTTTTTGATCCTCCACCATTGGGGTGGGGGAAGAGGGAGCAGGAGCGATCCCCGCAAGGAAAGAGCTAGCCTCTTGAGTCAGGAGTTTGTGCTGATACGAGAGGACAGGAATCGGAGGAAAAACGAAGGGATTTGAAGATGGTGGGCCCCGTAAGAACCCTCAGATTGGTCCCTGTGGCTGATCCCACCTCTACTGGGCAGCCATTTTGGGGACCCACCCGTGAAACATTTCAGTTCTGGGAGAAATTTTCTGACTGTGAGAACAATCAACCCGTGGAACAGAAGTTGCCTTCAGAAGTTGTGGGAGCTTCATCCCTGGAGGCTTTCAAAAAGAGACTGGTCCATGCCCATCTGCCATCAGGGCCGTGATGGCCAACCTATGGTACGTGTGCCACCGGTGGGCACGCGAGCATTGCCCTAGCTCAGCTGCAGCACACATGAGTGCGCAGGCTAACTGATTTTTGGGCCTTCCGGGCACACCGGAAGTTGGCAAACGGGCTGTTTCTGGCCTCCAGAGGGCCTCCAGCGGGATGGGGAAGGCTGTTTTCACTCCTAGAAAGCCTCTGGAGCCTGGGGAGGTTGAAAGACGGGCCTACCAGGCCATTGTGTGCCAAAAACAGGGGAAGCACGGGGTGGGTCGCGTGTGCATGCGTGGGGGGGTGGGGCGCATTGAATTGTGGGTGTTGGCATGCATGCACGTTCCCCCCGCGCTCACCCCCCCATTTTTGGCACATGACGGCAAAAAGGTTAGCCATCACTGGTCTAGGGTCTCCTATTAGGGTTGGGGGTTGGACTAGATGACCTCCAAGGTCCCTTCCAACTCTGTGAATCTGTTACTCTTAACCCCAACTGAACCCCCAACAACCTAAGTGCACCTTTTCTCCTTGCAAGGTGACACCAGGGGAACTTGCAACCGGCAGGGCTGCACACCTGCCCCTCTTATCTCCCTGAGTCTTCGGAGAGGGGCGGCATATAAATTTAATTAATTAAATTACATTAATTAAATTATCTCGCCACTGGCACACGTGGGAACATCTCTGGTGGCTCAGTGGTCGGCGGTTCAAATCCCTAGTGCAGGTCTTCCAGCGTGAGCAGCGGGTTGGACTAGATGACCTCCAAGGTCCCTTCCGACTCTGTGAATGTTACTCTTAACTCCAATTGAACCTCCAACAACCTAGGTGCACCCTTTCTCCTTGCAAGGTGACACCAGGGGAACTTGCAACCGGCAGGGCTGCACACCTGCCCCTCTTATCTCCCTGAGTCTTCGGAGAGGGGCGGCATATAAATTGAATTAATCAAATTCACACTGGCACACGTGGGAACGTCACCGGTGGCTCAGCGGCTATGACATTGAGCTTGTCGATCCGCAAGGTTGGCGGTTCGAATCCCTTAGGGCAGGTCTTCCTGCCTGAGCAGGGGGTTGGGCTAGATGACCTCCAAGGTCCCTTTCCGACTCTGAATCTGTTACTCTTAACCCCCAATGAACCCCCCCAACAACCTAAGCGCACCTTTTCTCCTTGCAAGGTGACCCCAGGGGAACTTGCAAGCTGCACACCTGCCCCTCTTATCTGGCCACTGGCCCACGTGGGAACGTCACCGGTGGCTCAGCGGCTATGACATTGACCTTGTCGATCCGCAAGGTCGGCGGTTCGAATCCCTTAGGGCAGGTCTTCCTGCCTGAGCAGGGGGTTGGACTAGATGACCTCTAGGGTCCCTTTCCGACTCTCTGTTACTGTCAAGCTCCCACTCGGCGCCTCCCTTGCGCAACGCAAAGCCGGCCAAAAGCGCGCGGCGCCTTTAAAGCGCAGCCACGAGAGGGGAGGAGAGGAGAGGGGAGGGGAGGGGGGGGCGTGCTGGAGGCAGGTCCGGGCTGGCTGGCCCTGCGCTGGGCGGCCTTAAAGGGGACTCGCGCCTTGGGCCGGCCAAGTTAAACCCCCGGGCCGGCGGACGGGGAGAAGAGAAGAGAGTCTCCGGCCGTCTCTTATCTTGGTCCTGGCCGAGCGGTGGGGGACTCCGGCCGAGAGGCGGGGCGGCCCTCCCCAACGGGAGGAGCCTCTTTCGAACCCGGCTCCCGGGAAATGCCCAGCAGGGAGCTGGAGGATCCCCAGCTTCCTTAGGATCGGGAAGGCTTGAGTTGCGCGCCTGCCTGCTCCGATGATGTACACCATCACCAAGGGCCCGAGCAAGCTAGCCACGCAGAGGAGGACAGGTAAGGCTTTTGGAAAGGTGGGTGGGTGGGTGGGTGGATGGAGGGGTCGTGGGTTTCCTCCCCCTCTCTTCCCCTTCCACCCCTGATCTGGACGACAGTGCCCATCTTCCCCAGCCAACCCGGGTGGAAGGAGAAGATCGGGGAGTCGCGATACCTGGGAAATCCCCTCCCCCTCTGCCTCTTTAATTTAATTTAATTAATTAAATTTATAGGCCGCCCCTCTCCGAAGACTCAGGACATCCTGCCCTTTGCTCCTTCGGCAAAAGAGAGGCGCCCACCTCTCCCCTCCCTCTCCTTGGAACTGCAATCCCCCCCCTCCCTCTTCTCCTCCAACCCCGGACGGGCTGAATCAAGTGTCGGGCCGTTCCGCAGGCCCAGGTGTGTGTATGTGTGTATATATATATATATATACGGATCGCGTGCGCCTCTCTCGCCCACCACACGCAGGTCCCACGCAGCAGGTGGAGAGCAAACTGGTGGATCTGAAATGCCGGCGGCCGCAATCCCAGCAGCAGCAGCAACCGCAGCAGCAACCGGCGGCGGAGCTCAGCTCGTGGCCCCTGGCAAGGTGAGGAAGGGGGTCGGGGGGTTTTTTTCCCCGATGCAAAGCAAAAACCGCGGCGGGGAGAGAGAGAGAGAGAGAGGAGAGGACGTCCCCGGTGCCCGGTTGACCTTGCCGCGTGGTCCCCCCGGGGCTGGCACCGCCGCGCTGGGTCCCCCTTGGCTCCAGATTATTGGGGGGGGTGGGGTGGGAAGCGATCGAGCACAGAGGTGTCGCTCAGGCTGGCCCGGCCTGCACGGGGGTCTCTCCTGCAGACTGACTGGCAGCCTCCCCGGAAGGGAAGTGGAGGTGACCTTGTCGGAAGGTTTGGCAGCTGCCCTTGTGGCCGCATGGCTCCCAACCAAGGGGAGGAGGGGGGTAGGGGGGTGGGGGTGGGGAGAAGGAGAAGGGGGGGTTTTACCCCCCCCCCCCCCCCCTCTGGCTGCCCTCTGTTGCCCCCCCCCCCCCCTCCGAGCCACGTGGGCTTTGCAAGGACAACCCCGGCTGGGGAGGCGGCACGTGCGAGCCTGGAGGGAGGGGAATCTCCTTTGGGGGGGGGGGGGGAGGGGGGGGAGGCAGGTGACGTCAAAGGACGTCACGAGACGGGAGTGTGGGGGGGAGGAGGGAGGGGCTTGTGTGCCCAGGGGGCAGCCTTTGCCCTAGGACTAGAGCCAGGGGGAGAGGGTCTCCAACCTTAGCAAACTTTTAAGACTTGTGGACTTCAACTCCCAGAATTCCTCAGGCAAAGCTTTGGGAGCAAAGCTCCCAAAGCTTTGCCTGAGGAATTCTGGGAGTTGAAGTCCACAAGCCTTAAAGTGGCCAAGGTTGAAGGATACTCTTCCCTAGAGAAGGCCAAGGCAGAGGAGAAGGGAGGGGGGGTGGCTTGGGAGGATTGGGGGTGGTGGTGGTGCAGGAGTATGAAGGTGGCTGCTAAACCTGTTGAATGCCTGCCTTCCTTGGGTGGGGAGGAAGAGGAGGAGGAGGTGCTGAGCACTAGGCAGCTGGGGCTCTTTTGCATTCCTTTGGGTGCGCCCCCCCCCCCACCTTCCCGGGCACACTCACTCTGCCTTTGCTCTTCTTGGCTTGGAAACCCTCCCGGATGGAGACAAAGGGATGTGCTCAAAATTAAGATGAAGAGAGGCGGACTTCAACTCCCAGAATTCCTCCGTCAACATCTAGACACCTTGATAGCTTTTAAGATGTGTTTGAGATACCGGCTGGGGAATTCTGGGAGGTGAAGTCCACTAGAGTATGAGTTGGATGGTTGATTGCAGAGGTCTTTTGTTCAAATGTGTCTCCGCTTTTGGGTTTACCTATCTGCTTGGATTCACAGGATGCGCTAAACTGGAGTTGAATACAGGTAGTCCTCGACTTACGACCCACAACGGAGCCCCCAAAATTGCTGTAGCTAAGCGAGACATTTGTGAAGGGAGTTGTGCCCTGTTTTACGATCTTGCTTGCCACTGCAGTCGTTAAATGAGTAACCCTGTCGTTCAGTGGATCTGGTTTCCCCATTGACTTTGCTTGTCAGACAGTCGCCAAAGCGGGATCACACGTCATCGTGGGCCATAGCAACGGGCATACATACGAACCCGTTGCCAAGCCTCTGAATTTTGATCACGTCATTATGTGGATGCTGCAAAGGTCGTAACAATGGAAAACGGTCATAAGTCATTTTTTTCCCAGTGCCGTCGTAACTTTGAACGGTCACTAAATGAAACCGCTGTAAACCGAGGTTGACCTGTGGTTTATAATTCAGCCTATAGTGGAAATGCAACCTTTACCATTCAGCCTGTTATACTAAGCAGAATAGATAAAAGTCTATGGAGATAGCTGTACAATTTGGGATGAACCCCCTTGGAATGGCGTGGGAGGAGGAATGGATTTCCAGAGGAAAAATTGCAGACTGCAGGAACCATTTGCACCACTCAGGTGACCCTGAGGACACAGAGAAACCTCCAAGTAGCCTCAACCACCCTCTCAAAGGATGCAAATAACCAGCTGTCTGCAAGGAGTATCAATCCTTCCATTCCCCACCATCCAGTCAGAACTGAAGAAGCTTCTTGGATGAGAAGCGAAACGTCTTCGAAAAGAAAAACCAGAAAGTCCAGTTGCCTCCTGGAAAAAAAAAACACATTTGGGAAAAGCAGGATAGAGTTTAGGAAATAGTGTTGGAACTGGCGAGCTCGGAAGGACGAAGGATGAAAAAAAAAACCTTCACTCAAACATAGCCCGTTTTGTACAAATATTCCTCAAATTATGACAATTTGGGACCAGAATTTCCATTGCCGAGCAAGGCAAGTTGTTCAGTGAGTAATACCGCATTTTGCAACTCTTTTTTTTTTTTTTTGGCCACAGTTATTAACCAAACCTCTCCAGTTGTTAAGTGAATCACACAGTTGCAAAGCAAACCCAGTTTCACCCCATTTGCTTGTGGGAAATGAGCTGAGAAGGTCACGAGTCACCCCGGGATGCTGCAACCATTGTGAATAATAAGCCAATTGCCAAACACCCAAATTTTGAAACACAGGACTGTGAGGACGCTACAACAGTCATAGGTGCAAAGCAGGGATGGGTTCTACTTACCTTTACTACCGGTTTACAACAGGGCCGCGCATGCATGGCCAGAAGCTCCCTGATGACGTCGGGGTCGGTGGGCGGAGCCTCCCGCCGGTTTTACTACCGGTTCTATAGAACCGTCGCTAAACGAAGGATTGTGAATTGAGGATTATCTGCGCAAGCTTCGAGCTTCACCTCTTAATCTAGGAAACTTCCGCCTGTTTATTTCCATTTTTAAACGGGTTCTGCAGCCTGAAAAATGTTTGAAACCCCCTGAAGTAGATGACACCATAATATTAATTGCTCGTTTATTTGGGCATTGTTGGTTCGATGAACACAGCGGTTGTGCTTTGGGTAATCTTGGGGGTGTGTATGTGTGTGAAAATTATAGCGTAATTGTTAAAATTGTTTAAACGCTTTCGTGGCTAAAAAAAAATCCCACAGGTATAAGATTTGTTTGTGGTGAGAAATGGATCCGCCCTTGAGTTCACCTGATACAGCCGTTTTCATTACACAACGGCATTCATTTTGATTACACAATTGTAACACTGCACAGGTACTCCTCGAATTACGGCAGTTCGTTTAGTGACCATTCGAAGTTACTGCGGCACTGAAAGTAGTGACATACGACCTTTTTTCATGCTTTATGACCGTTGCAACATCCTCCATGGTTCGCGTGATTTACATTCGGATGCTTGACAGTTGACGCACATGTCTGACAGTTGCAGTGTCCTGGGGAATCCCCTTTTGTGACCTCCTGACCATCAAAGTCAATGGGGAAACCAGATTCACTTCACAACCAAGAGCCTTGGTAGTACAGTGGTCTAAAGCACCCTGTTATTAACATCCAGCTGCCTGCAATTACTGCAGGTTCGAATCTCGCCAGGCTCAAGGTTGACTCAGCCTTCCATCCTTTCTAAGGTAGGTGAAATGAGGACCCAGTTTGTGGGGGCAATAAGCTGACTTTGTATAAATATACAAAAGGATGAAGGCTATTGCTTAACACACTGTAAGCCGCCCTGAGTCTCCGGAGAAGGGCGGCATATAAATCAAATTTATAAAAAAAAAAACAAAACTGTGAAGTTGTGAAGTTAACAGCTGCAGCGATTCGCTTAACAAACGTGGCGAGGAACGTCGTAAAACGGGGCAAAACTCACCGATCGAACGCCTCACTTAGCAACCTAAATTTTGGGCTCGATTGTGGTCGTAAGTTGAGTTGGGTTAAAATCCTTTCCCCGCACCTCAAAGGGCTCTGAAAGAGCAGACAATACTTCCCAGCGTTTAGAAAAACCGTTTGCGTTGCAAAACAAATTATTACTTTGTGTTACACATATCTTAAAGCCCAGGCCGTGGTTTGTTTAGTTTCTGGCTGGTTGGATACCAGTTTACTAAGGACAAATCCAGCCATTGTAAGTTTTTATTATTATTTTTTTCCATTCCATTGTGTTTCATTCTCTGGCACTGCCTGGACAAGTCCCTGCAATTTTCTTGGCCACATTTTTTTCAGAAGCGGTTTGCCATTGCTTTCTTCCTAGGGCTGAGAGAAAGCGGCTGGCTCAAAGTCACCTTAGCTCCGGGATGGCGAACCTATGGCACGCGTGCCACAGGTGGCACGTAGAGCCATATCGGTGGGCTCACAAGCTCAGCTCCCGGCCAGCTGATTTTCCGGCCTTCTGGGCCCACTGGAAGTAGGGAAACAGGCCGTTTCCAGCCTCCAGAGGGCCTCCGGGGAGGTGGGGAAGGCCGTTTTTCACCCTCCCCAAGCTCCTAGAAAGGCTCTGGAGGCTGGAGGGGAGAGAAAAACGGGCCTACTGTGCCCACTGTGCCATCCTTCCCACCCCACCGCTCTTGGCACGCGATGGCGAAAAGGTTAGCCATCACTGCCTTAGCTGGTTTCATGCCAAAGGACTAGAACTCACCATAGCTGACCTGCTTGAAAATTATATTATTATTTTTTTTTATTATTTATTTATTTATTTATTTATTTATTTATTTATTTATTTATTTATTATATTTCTATACCGCCTTTCTCCCGTAGGACTCAAGGCGGTGTACAGTCAAGAAAAATATAGATACACAAAGAACATAAAATTGTTAATTAAAATTATTATTATAACATAGTTTGGCCCAATTAAATAGAACCTAAAATTAGATAACATTTTCAAAAACATTCACATGTTCATATGTTTAGCCCCGCTTGTAGGAACATCAGGGTTTTGAGGGCACGGCGGAAAGCACGGAGATCAGGGATATTTCGTATCTCCGGGGGCAGTTCATTCCAAAGGGTTGGAGCCCCCACAGAGAAGGCCCTCCCCCTTCTCTGGGAGTCGCCAGTCGGCATAATTTGACTGACGGTACCCTGAGTAGTCCCTCCCTGTGAGAACGAACTGGTTGTTCAACAAATGTTGAGCGCTATGACCAGCTTTGTTCAAATAAACGACTTGTGCAAGACCGTGAAGGATTCCACC